GATAATTTCATATTGGGATTTAATTTTTTTTTGGGGAATAACGTCGCAACATATTTGAATCAATCGGAGACATCTAACCTGAAGAGTTTCACCTGTGTCAAATTCAGCGTTCGAATATTCGAATTGAGTGCTTCCTTCAGTTTTAGATTAAGCAATGCAAAAATAGAAGATTTCTTAGAAGAAATCGCTGTTTATATCATCCTATTTAAAATTTTCATTTAAATTTTACCACGTAGTAACACGAGGTCCAGAATCAACTTAATGGCACCGTACTTGAAATCATTTTTTTTCAAACGAATAAAATTAATCTTTGTGCCGCATTATCAAAATTACTTGATTATTTTTTCAACCAAAATTTATAATTTAATACAAACATACCCCTGCTAGGAGTCCAAAAAACTTTTCATATGTTCTCATTTCTGCACAGCAATCCAGAAACATATGACAAAGTTCGATTTCTTGACCAGGCTTCAGTTGCATTTTCATCAATTTGTGTGCACATTCCTCAAAATCAAGAGAAGAATGAATAGTTAAATAAATCGTTCTTCTCAAGGCTGTTAAATTAGTCTCTGTGTTGTCAACTATCACATCTCCTTTTCCATCACCTATAAAATAAAATAATAAACATCGTATTGCGTATTACAAATTTTATGCTTCTCCTTTTCTGTATTAGCTTTATAGCCTTAAAAGGGTCAAGACCTACACTCATGTCTTTGACAATTGTTACTTGCTTTATAATAATGGGGAAAGGCGCCAAGACTACGGCGTCAGGAAACGATCGGCCGAAGGAACAACCGGCCACGAAATGTACGGGGAACAAGTCCAAATTCAGTCGAATAAAAGCGAGATCGAAGTCGTGAAGAAAGACGCGTATCCTTTGTCGAATTTGATAGGTATTCTCGATCAATTACGGTCAGCGCACTATATTTCTACGATTGATCTAAAACAAGCTTACCATCAGATAGCTTTAGATCCTGAAAGTCAGGAGTATACCGCGTTCGTGATACCGGGAAGAAGACTCTTCCATTATATCGGGATGCGATTTGGGCTCTCGGAAGCCCCGCCAAATTTTCAACGTCTCGCGTATAAAATCATCGGTCCGGAGATAGGTGGGAACGCGTTCGCGTATTTAAATGATATACCTTTCAAAAGTCGCACCGGTAGTCGAGTATCCACCGCCGCGAAATATCCGTCAACTAAGACGTATTCTGAGTATGGCGTCGTGGTACCGACGATTCGTAGAAAATTTTGCAGCAGTTGCAGAACCCCTCACGGCCCTCACTAGCGAGAAGGCTAAATGGGAGTGGGGGAGGGCACAGGAATCCGAGGGATGTACAGGATATCTTGAGGAATGATAGGACGAGAAGAGAGATAGAGAGGTTGATAATTGAAAGCATGGTAGAATCAAGCTATCACCAACTAGTAGTCACAATAAATAGCAGGAGTATAGGAAGCTACGCGAAAAGAAAAGCAAGGAGGACCAGAATAGGATAGTAAGCGAGGCAGAGAAGGCGAAGACGGTAAAGTAGGTATGAAAAATAATAAACAAGGGAAGAAAGAGTAGAAAGAAGGTGGGTGAATAACGATGGAGGATTGAAAAGAGTATTTTGAATGACGAGATTCCGAATGAAGCGTGGAAGTTTGGAGGAGAAAAAATAGTAAATATAGTATGAGAAATAAGCAGGAAAATATGGAGAGGGAAATAATGAAGGATAGGAGAGAGGGTGAGATATGTTAGGTCAGAAAGGGGAGGGAGGAGAGAGAGATGAGTGAAAGAAGGGAAGGAAGAAAAGCAAAAAAGAGAATGAGTGAGAGAAGATTAGAGTCATGAAGACTAGTGTAAAGGAGGACGAAGAGAATGCTAGCAATGTAGTCGATGAAATTCTAACAATTAACACCACGTCAATCACCTGGTGGCGCTGCCGAGGCTTTTGACGGGCAACAAATATAGATACAGTAACAACAGAAAAAACAAGGCATACATAGAAATGCAATGATATGCGGTAAATAATGTACGATAATATATTTTATGTAACTCATGCATGAAAAACACTACTTTTCGTGCCTCCGAAGTGTGGCAAAAGTGGCGCTTTATATCTACGGATACGATAAAAAATGCTGCGCGTGCGCAAATCGGCCCAATTTTACATTATCGCACTAGTGCGATAAAGTAAACTTTGTTCTCGCGCGCTGTCATGAAATGTATTCACTTTTGAAGCCTTCCTTGCTCTTCTCATGGCTGCCTCCTCCAATGAAGAGATGTGTCAGTCACTATGGAGGCACAAAAATTAGCGTTTTTCATGCATTCGTTACAGAAAATATTATGCGATACTGGTACAATAAAGCGAACATTATACGCAGGTCGTGAAGTTTGTCACACTTGCCGCACTCGTAAAACAAGCAGCACTCACCTTCGGCTCGTGCCGTTGTGTTACTCGTGTGTGGCTCGTGCGACCAACTTCACTGCCTGCCTATTAAGTTCGCTTTCTCGCACTTGTATCGCAAAGTACTATTATTACTTTTTGAAAGTTTGTAACTTTCTTTAGCCAATAAATCATTATCAAGCTTTCAGCCGAACGAGAAACAGGTATAAATACAAAATTGTAATTTTGTAGTACTATTCGTTTTCATCAACGTTCATCGGAGATTAAAGTCAGTTTATCCTGTCTCGAAACTGAAAAATAGTTGCAAAGTAGAACTTTGCACATTGCTTCCTCATTATTTCCACCTTTTACAAAGTTACCTCTACATGAAAGTACGTTGATTGATGTCGGCTTTATTATAGAGAAGGCTTTGTGAAAGGTGGAATTGATGAAGAAGCAAAGTGCAAAGTCCTACTTTGTAACTTTTTCTTTTACATATTAAGGGGCAATTCTTCTAACGGAAAGCGGAAGTCGCACAGCTGTAAAATTTGGTTACTTTTTCAATTGTAATCAATCCACTAATTTTTATCAAACCCTATTTTGGTGTTCTTGTTACTCTGGCAAACATGTGTACTAAATTTGAACTTAATAACTCAAGATTTTTTAACCCAAGAATTATTACCCTTTTTTCTTTGTAAAATAAAACATTTCAAATATCTCATAAAATATTAAGACCTTGATTGACGTTTGTAAAATATGGTATCAAACACTGTTTACTATCAGTCCGTATAAGCACAAAATTTCAGTTCGATAGCTCCAATTTTACTGATGTTATGCATTTTGCAGTAATTTTTCGAAAAAATTCAAAACTTAACATCTGATAAAATAATAAGGCTGACTTATGACTTAAGCATGGCTGAATTGACCCAACGATACTAGTCGGAAATGAAACTTCGATTTAAGTTTGATATAATTCCACGATTCCTTCGCCAGTGCTTTACTTCAAAACCATCAACAGTGTTGACAGCAACACTCGTAGTGAAATATTGAAATTTTTCTCTTATAGTATCATGAACCATGTCTTCAGAGGGTCGATTGTGCAACTCAAATGTAGAGAAAATGCTAAAAGTGAAATCAGTGAATATAACAAAATATACATACCCAAAGCAGTGCCACTATCTTCATCTGAACTTTCATCTCCATCATCATCATCAGCAGTATCAGATCCACTACTGTCGGTATCCAATATCTCCTTACTTAAGTCTTTATATTTATCTTCGTTGGCAACATATTCCGTATCGAATTTGAATACGTCTAGAAAATAAAAAAATTATTTTCTTAATAATTTTATTACATTAGGCTAGGAAGTTTCTGGCAGAATGCAAAATTTCGTATAATTCAGACGATATGTTTTACTATGATTGATGTCATTGTGTATTCTCTCTTATATTACGACTAATAATTAATTATATTATTTCATCTTATTCGAAATTGTAACAGTTGTATATCTGTGCTTACTTAATATATTTTGAGCATCTGTTGCCTCATCCAGTGTCACAAGATGTGTGAACTGATGTTCTTCTTCTACGAGATCAAGCTCCTCACTAACGGCCTCGTGATCTTTGAAACCGTCTTTCCGAATTTGAAATATAACTTCAATCATATATTGAACCTGAAAATTTGTTAAACAATTATATTCAAATGCTAATGTTAATAAATAAAGTGGTTAAAAGGAAATAATATTAAACTTTCAACAATGAAATACTTACCCTTTTGTCCAATTGACCTTCATGTAATATATTTCGAAGCATCTCAAAAATGGCTTCTATTCCTTTTCGTGAAACCTCAGTCAATTTCATACCACACTCTTTTAAGAACGCAATTGCTACTTCAATGGAATCATCAGTTGGTGTTTCAACCAACAATGTCAAAATCTCAAGTGCAAGAATTTCATGGGCCACCCGTTGATTAACCAAATGAGCAATGAAAGTTCCAGATGATATACACAATGGTTTATCATTTCGCCGAAAACCACGTTTAAATTGTATTACTAGTCTCTTTAATAATAACTCACCAATGTTTGGAAACTGTAAAACATAATTTTTATTTAGTGTTATGATAACAGACAACACAATATCTTAATAGCAAAAGATCCTAAGAATATCCTTTTGAATATAATTTTTCAATTCTGTGGATCACCATGAAAAGTTACAGATCAAAACACATTACTCCCCTTTTGCGCTTGCCTTTAGGCAGGCAGGCAGTGAGGAGTTAAAAATCAAAATGTGAACATCATAATGATATTGCTGAAATATATAATTTTTTTAACGATCTTGACAAACATACCTTAGAATTGATAACTGCTACAAGTGCTGCATAAATCGAAGTAAATGTAGGAGAAGCTGCTTGGGCTTGAATCACAGACCTTGCCAGCAAACCTCTTCCCCTAACAATATTCTCACGAAGAAGTTCTCTGGTAATTAATCGAATATTACTAGTATTAACTTTATTAATATATCCATGTATAGATTTTTTAAGAGCTTCCCAAGCTATACGTTGATATGCTGCTCCTGATTTATCAGTAATTTCTGCTTGCATCATACGCAGCTTAGCAGGAGGAATATATGCTCCTCCTGTTTTTGAAGTAAGCAGGTCAACTGTACGCTTCTGACATGGTGTCATATCTGTAAGTTTATTTTTAGTATCTTCATCAATTCGATTATCTGTCAATCCATCTGCAGGTATCTTTTTGACATTACTAGTTTCTTGATATCTGGATATTTTCTGTATCGATCTTGACGACCTATGAGATTTATTTCCATAAAATCGTTCACCAATCATTATTTCTTCGTCTGTGTCATAATTTGTACCATATCGATTATCATTAGTTCTGTGTGCATTATCCCAATATCTTTGCCCAGTTACTTGTTCATTTTTTCTCATTGCACCCTTTGACGAAAATGAATCATTATTGTATTTTTTATTATCAACTCGTTTCATAGACCTCTTTAGGCTCATATCATTTTCTCGACTGTCTTGTCGTCGTCGTTGTTTGTATTTAGCCTCATGTCCTTCTTGACAGTAATAATCATCCGCATTTTTCTTTTCTTTGGCTCTCCAATTGCCACCTCTATTTGCGTCAACATACTTGTCATCTCTTCGACGTTTGATACGATCGTGTTCACCGTTGCTTTGCGAGCTCATCGTACAATCGTGATAATAATTACACTTTAATTAAAGTTCTTCTTGCTCTTTTATGGTTTGACACCAGTCCAGACTATACTCCTTTATAAGCGAGCACTGGCGACCACCAAAATAGTTCCTTCTATGGTTGAAGTAGACAAGGTGTGGTACCAGAGATGAGTAGGGAGATTGCCAACGAGCCTGTTTTTGGTGGTCACAATTTTTCTCTGGTTTCGGCGCACCACCTTAGCGGAAGGCCCACGAAGCAGTTCCACGTTTTTGATTGGTCGTGTATATATAGTAATACTACGCGTGATAATCTGGAGCTGTGTTTTGGCGCGTCGACGCGCCACCTGAACGAGACTCTCGAACTAATTCCACGTTTTTGATTGGTCGAATGAATTCGTGTGTTCCTCAAGATCCACGATTTTAAACCGGGTGAACACTGAAATAGGGAGACTTGTATCCACCTTTTTTTTTACAGGATATTACATAAACCGTAGTAATAAGGTAGTCAATACTGTTAATATCCATATGAAGCTCTGGAAATAATAGAGTAAGCAAATAAAACTTAAAAAAAA